TCTTTTTTTAAAATTTTATTTGTGTTGTTGTTGTTAAGAATATACACAGCAAAACATACACCAGTTTAACCATCTCGACATGTACAGTTCAGTGACATTGATTACATTCGTCGAGTCCATTTATGGAGGAGTTCGTGAAAAAAAGGGAGGTTGAAGACCACTCCCTTAAAGGAGCTAATGGGAAATGTATATGCATCAACCACATTTATAAAAACAGAAAGCTACTGTACTCTGTAGCTGCAGAGGAAAGCAAACATTTTGCATCCAGGTGTCATTAGCAGTTCTGGCCTTGACCGGCTTCTCTATAGCTCAGTTTAGGGCGGTATGTACCAATAGCGGAGCCCTACTTGGCTATACAAATGCATCTAAGCTCATTGCTTCTGGAATATCACAGGGATCATTTGCAATCAAGTCAAAATGGGGCTGTGGTCATGCAAACCCTGAGAGCTGCTTTCTAACAGCCCAGACACCTGTGCAAGAAGCTGGCCAGTAGTCCGAGGTGAGCGCCCCCTCTCTGCATGTCTTCCTTCCCCCGTCCTCCACTCCCCTCGGTTCTGAAGGTTGCTGGAGACTGTGCACAGCCATGACTATGGCTAAAAGTACCTCCAGTTTGACACCCCGACACCACCCTCTCTTCTAGCATCTCCTTTCCTTCTCTAGCCCCTCAGCCTTCACTTTTCTCTGCTCCCAGTGACCAGAGCCCACCCTCTCCCTCCCCTGTCTGAGGGCCCATTAGGCCAGAGCATCTCGGCTAGGTGTTAGAAAAGCCGGCTGATATGATGAAGTCACACTGTGTTGTGGATGACTTATAACCCTCACCGAACGCACACACACCTTCTACCGTTCCCTGGGAATTGCAGGCAGCAGGGGAAGCCGTGCTATCCAGTTCTGATGACCTGTCCTCAGCAAAAGGGAACAACTCCCAAAGTGTGGCGCTGAGCATGGTGTTAAAAAAGCTTTTGCTGTGGAGTCGACTCCGACTCGTGGCAACCCTGTACGAGTCACAGTAGAACTGGGTTTTCAATGGCTGATTTTTTCAGAAGTAGATTGTCAGGCCTTTATTCCAAGGCTCCTCGAGTGGACTTGAACCTCCAACCTTCCAGTTAGCAGTGGAGCACGTTAGCCATTTGCATCATCCAAGGACGAGCTAGGCATTAGCAAGCCCCAAGTGCACATTCTGCTCTCCTCCTAAAACCCCAGCTCCTCCCTCTCACCTCAGAGATGCACAGCATTAAACTGGGTCCCACTGACTTTGCTTTGACGTTTTATCTGCATTCAGAAGTATGTTGTCACATGCATAGGCATCTCCATTTGTTACTCCCAGCATGTGGCAATGTGACGTTAAGAAAATGAGAGGAGAAAAAATTCTGCCATCTCTAAGTCTGCAGATTTGTACTAAGTGAACCCTCCAAACTCAGCAATGTTACTCAACCCTTTAAGGCTGCTCTGGTGCAGTGTAACTCAAGGAGTGGGGATGGGGGGACGGGGGAATGAGGTAGCCTAAAATGGCTGGTTGGAGACAGCTGTTTCTCAAAGAATCTAGGTTTTCTATAACTCTATTTGGATTGTCCTTGAGGGCTGAGGGGGAGGAGGAGAGGGAAAGATGCTTGAGGAAGGGGGAGGAAATGGATGGCTGAACTCCCTGGACGAGAACACAGCCTTAAACTTGGTCTCAATTTTTGGCTTTAAACAACAAAAATGGAATGGAGGGGACTGTTTCCTTGGCCTAATCTAGGAACTACTTATTCAGAGCAAATAGGCCCAAGCTGTGAGAGGATGTTAAGGGCTGTTAGAAAAGAAAGAAGGAGACAGAGACAGGGAGAAAAAGAAATTAAGCCACTCCTACGCATGTTGAAGAAGAGCCCTGGTGGCACAGTGGTTAAAAGTGCTCGGCTGGTAGCTGAAAGGTCGATGATTAGAACCTACCAGCCGCTCCTTGGGAGGAAGATGGGGCAGTCTTCTTCTGTAAAGATTACAGCCTTGGAAACCGTATGGGGCAGTTCTACTCTGTCCTGTAGGGTCACTATAAGTCAGAATTGACAGCAATAGCTTCCATGGGTTAAGCATGTTGACCGGGCATTCGTGGGTCAGTGGTAGAATTCTCACCTTCCATGTAAGAGTTGTTGTTGTTGGGTGCCCTCGCCAGATCTTTTCTCCCACAGAGCTGCTGGTGCTTTTGAACCCCTGATCTTTAGGTTAGTAGATGAGCACTTCACCATTGTGCCACCAGGGCTCTTTCCAGGCAGGAGACCTGGGTTCAGTTCCCAGCCAATGCACCTCACGCACAGCTACCACTGTCTATCAGTGGGAGCTTGTGTGTTGCTATGATGCTGAACAGGTTTCAGCAGAGCTTCCAGACTAAGCTGGACTGGGGAGAAAGGCCTGGTGACCTACTTCCAAAAATCAGCCAATGAAGCCCCTGTGGACCACAACCATCCCATCTGCAGCTGATGATGGGGAGGGCATAGGACCAGGCACAGTTTCGTTCTGTTGTGCATCGAGTCACCATGAGTCGGGGGCCTGACTTGACAGCAGCCAACAAAGCGCAAAAGAATGTTGAAGACAAGGTTGTCTTTAGACTGAGAAAATAGTGCAGCCATGATGGGGTGATTATTTCAGCTTCAAAAAAAGAATCTCAGCAAATATCATGCCTCATTCTGGCGCAAATCGTTTGTTTACTTAACTGTTGCATCATCATCTAGGACCACTGGCATCAGAATGCACTTGTTTGGGTTGTTTGTTTGTTTTGCTTTGTTTGGGGAGTGGGGGCAAGAGGGTAGTTTTTTTGTTTGTGTGTGGGTGGGGGGGGTTGCTGATGCTTCTGTTTTTGCTTTGGGGAAAACAAAAATCCAGTCCCATTTCCAAAACAACAAAGAATCTGAAAGGAAGGAGCCAAGCAGATCCCTTGGGCTTCTCTTTACACCCCAATACCCCTGAGAGAATGGGGAGTCATTAATGAGATGTCAGAGATAGCAAGACCCTATCTGCACCAGTCATATTGCGTGCTTGACTAAGAAACAAAGGCCCTCGTCCAGGCCAGTGCGCTTTCCCGGTGGGCTCCTATGCCATGGTTTCCATCAAAGAATGCAGCAAATTCATCAATATCAAAGGATGAGAAACAGCTGCATTTTTGCAACTGGGGCAAAGGGGAGGAAAGAAATGTCTTGGGATGCTTTTTAGCACAGTGCTTTGCACATAGTACCAAAAAACCCAGCCAGTTGCTGTCGAGTTGATTCTGACTCGTGGCGACCCCGTGTGCGTCAGAGTAGATCTGCTCCATAGGGTTTTTAAGGTTGTGACCTTTTGGAAGCCAGATCTCTCTTCTGAGGCACCTCTGGGTGGGTTTGAACCACTGACCTTTCAATTAATAGCTGAGTACTTAATCACTTGTGCCACCTTACCAAAAACCAAACCCATTGCCATCAAGTTGATTTTGACTCATAGCGGCCCTATAGGACAGAGTAGAATGCCCCATAGGGTTTTCAAGGCTGTAAATCTTTACAGAAGCAGATTTCCACATCTTTCTCCCATGGAGTGGCTGGATTCGAACTGCTGACCTTTCAGTTAGCAGCTGAGTGCTTAACCTTAAAAACCAAAACGAAACCTGTTGCCGTCGAGTCGATTCCGACTCATAGCGACCCTATAGGACAAAGTAGAACTGCCCCATAGGATTTCCAAGAAGTGGCTGATGGATTCAAACTGCCACCCTTTTGGTTAGCAGCCAAATGCTTAACTGCTGCGCCACCAGGGCTCTGCTTAACCTCAGGCACTCAGTAAATATTAGTCATAGAATGAATTAATTTATGCAGGGGTTGCTTAACTCAGCAGGGAACAAAAGTGGATTCATACATTTATGCATATACATTTCCTTCCCAATTTTAAGCACTTTCCTATTTGATTTATGTGATTTTCACCTTTAAAATGAAAGCTGAGTTGGACGTATTTGATAATATTGCTCTTTCTTCCTTCTTTGTTCATTGATCACCTCCTTCTGATATTGTTTTCTAGACACTTGTTCTTAGCGCTGCTCTTTCTTCTCCCCATGGCACTGCCTGCCACTCCTTAGAAGGTAAAAGGCATTAGAGAGGTTCTTCAGTATGGCATATGTGAGGACATTGGGGCCCTTAAGGAGTGGAGTGCTGCCAGCTTGAATTAAACTGTATCTTCTGTCTCCTTATTTAATGTTTACCACAAAAGCAGTTCTGTTCTCTTTCTTGTTGGGGTTACACACAGAAGGATGCCACTCCTGTTTACTGTAGACTCTCATTCAACCTGTGAGGGATATGTGTTTTACACCAACACGGTATGGTAAAGTCAATTAAAGAAGCCATTATATCCATCAACAGATGAATGGATAAACAAAATGTGGTCTATACACACAATGGAATACTACTCAGCCATCAAGAGAAATGAAGTCCTGGTGTATGCCACAGCATGGATGAAACATGAAAACATTATGCTGAGTGACATAAGCCAGTCACAAAGGGATAAATACTGTATGATCTCACTTATATGAAATAAGCAACTATATAGAAACCGAAGATTATTAGTGGTTACCAGGGGTGGGACAGAGGGGACGGGGGGAGTTTTTGCTTAAGGGGCATTGAGTTTGTTCATGGTGGTGGAATGATTGAGAAAAGGATAGTGTGAATAGTTGAACAACTTAAAGAATGTAATCAAGGTCACTGAACTGTGCACGTAGAAATTGTTGAGATGGCGAATGTTTTGTTGTGTATACTTTCATCACAGTTTTTAAAAAGTCATTATCGTGACTCCTACACATTGAGTTCCAACAATGACATTAAGCTTCAATTCTCTCTCAAGACAAGAATGTTTTCCTCTTCTTAATGCTTTAGAAACAACCTTTTGCTTTTAAAAAAAAATTAGCTTGTTTGAACTTCCGATGGAAAATAAGATGTTTTGTCTCTTGTGTTCTTGTGTGCTCTAGAAATCCTCACCGAACAGCTTATTTCCTGTGGGTCCTTGCCTGCTGAGCCAGGATGAAAGTCTTCAAGTTGATTGGAGGGATGGTCCTCCTCACCTTTGTGTTTCCGTCCCGCTCTGGACAAAATCCAGTGACTGTGCTGTGCTCCATAGACTGGTTCATGGTCACCGTGCACCCCTTCATGTTAAACAACGATGTGTATGTGCACTTCAGTGAGTTACATTTGGGCCAGGGTTGCCCCGCCAATCACATTCAGCCATACGCCTACCAGTTCACCTACCGCGTTACTGAATGTGGCATCAGGGCCAAAGTTGTCTCTCAGGATATGGTTATCTACAGCACCGAGATACACTATGCTTCGAAGGGCACGCCATTGACGTACGTGATCCCACTGTCGTGCACTGCTCCCCAGAATTCGCCGTGGCTCACTACACCCTGCCCTGTGGGTTTAGCCAGCGGGAGTGGGGCCACAACCCAGGATGATGAGACATCCTATGAGGTGTTTGAATTGTCACAGTCCAGCCAAAGGCCCATCTGTGATTGTCCACCTTGTGTCTTCAGTGAAGAAGAGGGGACCCAGAGTGCACGTCACCAGGCAGAGGCTCAGGCGGCCAGGCCTGAGCAGTCGCCTTACTTTGTTGATCTGTCTGAGGATTGGTGTCTTCGCTCAGATAATCTGATTGACTCCATGTAATCCTCAAGTTTAGGGTCGCCTGAGGATGAGGTTTCTAGAATTAGTGTAATATTTACTAATACCAGAAGATGAAATATTCACGTGGTCCTCTTATGAGAGAGGGCAGCCCATGGCAACAACTTCACAAATAAAGCTTTTCTATATTTTTTATATCCTTTTGTCAAAGAAAAAAATAAAATTCTTATGGCATAAAAATATCACTTGGATATTTTATTTAAGAAACACATACATAGCTTTTTCTATAGGCCAGGCACTGTTCTAAGTGGTTTACAAACACGAATGCCCGGTCTGTTCTTTCTAGGATAACTCCTCTCTCCTTTAAGGTCCTCTAAGGAAGCCTTCCGCATCAGAATCACTCCCTCTGTATCCACATTTCACTTCTACGCTGCACCACTCAACTTAGAGTTAAGTGCCTTCTTAGTTTGATCTATGGCTGTATCACTTTTCATCCATGGAAGGCACAAGTTGTGCGAGTGATTTATAAACCACCAAGGGTTCTCAGAATCACACAGTCATGTCCCACCAACAAAATGGTAAGCTCCTTGAGGCCAAGGGCTAGGTCTTATACTTTACTCACAGAGGAAAGTACTTTAAAAGGAGTTTTTTTGTTTTGGGGGGATTTTTTTCCCCAATACATGTGATCAGAAAATTTTCACCAAAGTTTGGTTGTCCATTAGCTTTCTCAAAGGCTTGGAGGGAAAAGGATAAGTAAATCGATTCAACAAATAGTCATTGCGTGCTACTCCATGCCAGGCACTGTTCTAGGCACTAAGGATATGGCAGTGAATAGAAACTGAGGCTCAGAGAAATTGAGGTCACACAGCTAAGTAAAGAGGTAAACAAAGATAGACTCAGTGACAAATGCTATGAAGACATGAGAACAAGGTGAGATGAGAGAAACTGGGGAAGAGGCCAGGCAGTGATCTACTTTAGCAAGAAGGGCTCAAGGGAGGAAGGCCTCTGAGGACTCTTCATTTGAACTGAGTCTTGGATGTGAAGAAGGAGCCAGCTCTAGGAAGAGCCAGAGTGAGAACTTTTCAGATAGTAAAACCATCTCATTTAATCCTCACTACAACTCTATGAGTGAAGTATTCTTCTTCTACCCATTTTTAAAATAAGAAATCTGAAGCACAGGGTGATTGAGAAACTTGCCTAAGGCCACATACCTATGAAGAAGCAGGCAATGTGAACACAATGTGTGTACGTGATATGTAGGCAAAGTGCTTCAGTAGATAAGTACACATTAGAAATTAAGTTGTGGTAGTTGAAGAAACACAGCAGTTCATTGAAAAATCCCCTGCCCCTTTTTGCAGAAAATCAGGTAATAATCCCTGAAAACAGTGTAGTCATTCAACAAACATTTATTGAACGTGTCCTATGTGCCGGGCACTATGTTAGGTGTTGAGGATGCAATGGTGAACAAGACCAGCACGGTCCAGTGGGAGGGGGTATAAGTAAAGAAGTCTAGGGAGCTAAAGGCTATTCCAGCCCAGAAAATGGGCCTAGGCAAAGACATGGGTACCTGGTCTGAGGCCATCAGAGAAACTTTAAGGAGTCTAGTCAAATACAACGAGGGGGGTGGGGGACCCTTGGTGATGCAACAGTTAAGAGCTCGGCTGCTAACTGAAACGTTGGCGGTTCAAAACCACCCTGCTGCTCTGTGGAAGAAATACGTGGCGATCTACTCCCATAAAGATTGTGTGCCACTGTGTGGATTCCAACTCACAGAGACCCTATAAGACAGAGTAAAACTGTCCCATAGGGTTTCCTAGGCTGTAATCTTTACAGAGAAGATTGCCAGGTCTTTTCTTCCATGGAGCAGCTGGTGGGTTCGAACCACCAACCTTTCCATTTGCAGCTAAGAGGTTAACCATTGCACCACCAGGGCTCCTTTCCATAAAGATTACAGCCAAGAAAATCCAGATCTACTCTGGAGCAGTTCTGCTCTGTCACATGGAGTCGCTATGAGTCGAAATCAACTTGACAGCATCTGACAACAACAACAAAAGTGGTTAAAAATAAAATAAATGTAAGAACAAATACATTGGGGTGGGGGTAGGGAGGAAGGGAGGGAGGTTGGTGGTGGTGAGAGATGGAGCCAGAGCAGTATCTAAGACTGTACAAGACAACTAGCACTCCCTACCCATCCTCTCGTCAGAAGCTTACAGCTTGTTTAAGGAAACAACACTAAAACACATAAAAATAACTTAGCAAGCTGTCTGTACCAGACCCATTAGACTTGGGCTACCATGTCCAAGCTGTGCACTTCACAACTGCAAGGGGCAATAGTCACATAGACACCCCCCTGGGGTTGTGTAATGTATCAGCCTTGGAAGAGACTCAAGACTTCCATCGTCGTGATAGCTACCATGTGCCAAGCACATTATATATGTGATCTCATTTAATTCTCACAATAGCTCTGCAAGATCAAAATTTCGAACCCATCAGTCACTCCACAGGAGAAAGATGTGGCAGTCTGCTTCCGTAAAGATTTACAGCCTGGGAAACCCTATGGGGCAGCTCTACTGTCCTATAGGGTCACTACGGGTCAGAATTGACTCGATGGCAACGGGTTTGGTTTGGTGGTTTTGTATAGATGAGGAAACTGAGGCTCAGAGAGGTTCAGGTCGCACAGCTAGTAAATAGCATCACTGGGACTCAAAGCCAGATTTGTCTAGCTCCAAAGTCCACTCTTCCCTCTAGACTCAACATTCCCTCCCAGGGAAAAATCTTCTCTGTGGATTGGAAGGTTCAGAAAGTTTTCTTGGTAGAGGTGGGCAATGACTCCACTCTTCGAAGATGGGGAGGATTTGGCCAAGTGAAGAAGAAGAGCGTTTTCTGTGAGCATAAGCACTGGAACAAGGTAGAGAAGTGCACTGTGTTGGCAGGAGAATGCTTAGAGGGTTGTTGCTCTAACCTAGATGTGAGATGAGGGAAGCAAATGGGGCAGAGAGTTGAAGGATAGGAAGGATGAAAATGAGAACCATTGCAAGTGAAGAACAACAGGATTTCATTCATTTTAACCTATAGGAAACAGATGTCTATATTTAAGCTCCATTCATGATTAAGAGATAAACTGTGTGGTGCAGGCAAATTTGGAGCATGGAAAAGTCCTGGGCCCTGCAGCCAGAGACGACAGGCTTCATGAAGGACATAAAGACTTGAGCTAACCCTTGATCTGCCTGACCAGTATATGTGAGAAAGAAGAGATTGAATCAAAGAAGATGCCATCATTTAGAGTTCTACACGTTAGGCAACATAATAAGCTCTGGATTTAAGTAAGGAAATTGAGGCGAAGGTAGAGGATGGGGTGAAGACGAGTCCAGGTTGAGAAGCCACTTTTTCTTTTGAAATACAATCTCCAGAGTGACATCCCACCACATGCTGTTCTTTAGACATGGGTTGCTAGGTCCAGCCCACACACAAGGGGAGGAGATTCACAAGGGCTCTAACACCTTCAAAAGTATTGAATGTGAACTTCAAGCATTTCAGGTACACGTTTGATCTCCTACACCCTATTGTAACGCTTGTTTGTTTGTTTTGCCTTTCTCTTACAGAGTACTTAGTGAAGGTACCCAGCAGGTTCTCCACCAGGTGACTGACTGACTGGTACAAAAAAGGGCCTGGGAGTCCATAGCATGGGAACCATTCGAAAGATGGGAAAATCAAAATGCCTTACATAAAAAAACTGCATTTTGAATTGACTGATGTTTTTGCCTTTTGAAATGCCACTCCAAAAGAGTGTTTTCCTCCTTGATCGTGGTAATGTTCATTTAAGTTTTAAGGTGACATGATTTATAAACATCTGTCATACAGCATTAATCATACTTGCAATAATAATAAGGAATGCTTTATTGCCATCAAAAGAAAAGAGCATTCCCACCTTTCAATCTCTGGTAAAGCCAAAAATGGCTGAACCCATTTGTTATGATAGTTGCTTAACAAATATTTAAAAACTAGAGCCATAATGAGATTTTTCACCCATAAAAGGAGACTTGAAGTAACATTTAAAGTTTTGTTCTTACGACCTGAAAATAGTAAATTAGATTTTTTTTTCAAACTGTGTAAAAGTATATGTAAATGTTAAAAGCAAAGAGTCCTTTATCCTTCATTTTAACCCCATCGCTCCAACCCACCATCAAAACTGAAGGCCTGGTCAAGTATTAAACTAAACACAGTGCTGTTCACACATACACTATGTTTATGAGAAACACATCATCAAGGGACAGTGCTTATTACAAAGAGAAGGTTAATTTTCACAGAAACGTCCTTTAATTCTAATTAGTGTTAATCCCTATGACTGATCTCAACAATTCTCCGTTTAAGTTGTAATTATAGTTGTTTGTTCCAAAATAAAAGAAAAAGTGAGACTTTCAGTCTTGTGATTTTCTACAACTTTTTCAGAAGAAAACGAAAGAGTCAGATTTCAGCTTATAAACTCACGTTGGTTATACATTACAAGACCTTCTGTATTAGTTATCTATTACTGCATAACAAATTACCCCAACACAACAAACATTATCTCACAGTTTCTGTGGGTCAGGAATCTGGGCGTGGCTTAGCTGGGTGCCTCCAGCTCAGGGGCTCTCCTGAGATGCACTCAAGCAAGGCTCAACTGGGTTGGAGAATCCACTTCCAAGATCATTCAAGTTGTTGTGGAGAGGAGGCCTCGGTTCCTTCTTTGTGGCCCTCTTCATAGGTTGCTCGAGTGTCCTCTTGACACAGAAGCTGATGGTGAGAGAGACAGAGAAGAGAGGAGCAGAAGAGAGACAGAGGAAGAGAGGGAGAGGAAAGGGAAGGAGAGGAAAAGAAGAGAGGGAGAGGAGAGGAGAAGAGAGGAGAGGGAAGGAGAGGAGAGAAGAGAGGAGAAAAGGAGAGCGAGAGGAGAGAAGAGGAGAGGGAAGGAGAGGAGAGGAGAAGAGAGAGAGGGGAAGGGAAGAGACGGAGAGGAGAGGAAAGGGAGAGAAGGAGAGGAAAAGAGAGGCGAGCAGAGGGGAGAGGCGAGGAGAGGGACAAGAGATGGGAAGGGAAGAGATGGAGA